AAGCTAGAGATCCTCATCTGCTCTACTATTTAGTGCATAGCTGGAATGAGAAGACATGCATTTTCAAATTGCGTCAGTGCGAAAGTGAATGCAAAAGACTAGTCCAGAATCTGAACTCAAATCACCAGTTCTATATTCCTTGTCAATTACCGTTATACAGACCAAATAAAAAAAAATAACAAATATCAAAGTGAAAAAAATAACAATCCACCAATACTGGGCAATAGTAGCTACGAAGAGATTGAAGTTTCTTTACAATTAAATTTAGAAAATAATAAATTCGATCAGAAGAGAGTTCAACACGCAAAAAAAAAGACTGTCTCTTTTTCTGTATTTAAGTTGGAGAGGATGGAATTCTTTCTTCATTTCTCTCAGGGAAACAAAGGAAATCACAGAGCACAACAATAATCGTTTCACGAGAAATTATATTGCAAGTGAGTGAGTTCTTTTGATAGTAGCATCGCAGCTCTAGCAATTAATATTGGATCTCTTGACATTCCCTAAAATATAGATGATGTCCGAACATCGGAACAGCTATATCTGAGGAAAGTTGAATTGGGCTGCTGAATTCACTTTCTGAGCGTATTGTTTTTTTTTAATTAGCAATAGTGCCCTTAGGAAATGCATTATCCATCTTATTCCAGCTATAGGTTAAATAACAGAGTAGACTCAATTCTTTAGAAGGGCAATCAGTCTATGAGAACAACTTTGAATTCAAAACCATCAGGCAAAGGAATTGATTATCTAAGACGCACTGACCGTTGCCCTGGCTTCAGTACATATGTTGACCTTACGAACCTAATGAACTACGAAATTTTAAACAAACAAAGAAAAAACAAAAAAGGATGTCACTGTTGACGGCAAATTTTAAGATTAATGGCGGTACCTGAGTCATTTCCGTCCATATGGATCATACGAGTTAGATATGTTTTGAAAAAAAGAATTTCAGTTGTGATTTGTTTAGCACAGCATAAGGCGCAATTCGAAAAATGATGTAGGCATATTGAGTTCGGCCAATTTTCTGATTTCCAAAAGAAGTATTCCAAATTGTTATTTAGTCTGTCTCTCTCACAAACACGCACACACTTTCTTGTACAATTCTGTCAAATCTCAAGCATTTAACACTGACACAAGTGGAAGACCCTCAATTATTTGTTTTATGATGATTTTCTAAGTGTAGCTTATCTGTGGCACAAGGCCGAATATATTGTGCACCCAGTGATGTAATTGTTCTTTGAGACAAGCTTGGTAACCATTTCACCTCGTCGAGGCGCCCATGTAATTTAGTCTATGATGCAGTATTTTTTTAAAACGAGCGTTAGATTTGCTGCGGAACAGACATCCAATTTCTTTATTATTGCGCACGCAATGAGTCCTCAGTTGCGCAGTAATTTAGACAAGTAAGATCAGTAAAAAGGCCGTTAACTAGGTAATCTTCCGCGTATGTCTATTCAGCAGTGTACGTATGCAAAAGCACCAGTAATGGCTGCCGTGCTGTAGCCGCCAACGAGGCGAATGAATCCGAAATTTTAGTGTCGATAACTCCAAAACGGTAGATTTTATATCAAATTTTTGTAGTTATTTTCGAATTAAGCATATACATTTACGGGTAAATATAACAATTTGGAAAATTTTTAACAGAAACAGAGCGCGGGTTCTACACTGCAAATTAGCCGATTAATTTGATTTTTACCGCTGATCAACTCCCTATGAGTTATTTAAATCAAAAACATATTTAGTGTTGGACAAGATCGCTTACATTGCTCGGTGTTCTCAAGCGGGTCCCCATTTAAATAAATGCCCGGACTCGACATTTCGACTTCGATGATCGATCCAGTGTTTTTAGTGCGATTTGACCGCCATGTTGTAATCTGGTTATTTTGTTTTACGGCATATCAACCTCAATGGGTTATTTAATTGTGTTAAGATTTTTAGAATAGATTCGTATGAATATAATATGTATTCATTGAAAGAAATCAGTTTGTAGATCAAGTTTCATTGACGTATTTTTTGTAAAGAGGGTATTGGTCTAGAGTCAAATGTATTGCTGGTAATTTTTCTTCTTCAAAAATATATTACTGGTAACATTTTTCTTTTTTCAAAAATGTATTGCTAGTATTTCTACTATAGACATTTATGATAGTTTGAGGGTTAACTATTTGCCCAAAGCGAGGAGCCTAACAGGTGCTACAACCCCGGTAAGGATGGACCGGTGAACAACAGCAGTTAAGAGGTAGTTCCACTCTCCTCAACACCTTCCGTTCAGAAGTCTTGCTGCTAGATGTCATACTCAGAAGGAGTCATAATCTAGAGTGCTCAATCTATGGTAATATGAAAATAATTCTGAAAAAATTTCAGGTCTTAATACCTAGAGCTTATTGTATAACTCCAAGAAATGAGATTTGTTAGTGATAAAATCCGCAGTCGTAGTGCATGCAATAAAAATCGAATTTCCTTCACGCTGCTTGCTAATCATTGTTGCAGATCAAGACATATTTGACTTTATTGCACTGATAATCGAGTACAATTGTTTAACGAAATCTATAAGCAAATTAACAAGATATATCTATATGCCGGCCTGTATTGTCATTAACCAAGTGTAGCTTAATGTTAGGGCACCTTTAAAAATGACTCAAGCGAATTGATTTCAGAAAGCATCTTGTTCATGCAAGAGTCACGTTGGGCTACCGGCATGCACATATTTCGACGTGCTTATGGGCGAAATTATATAGATGTATTTTAATTGTTTTAAAACTCTTGAACGCTGTGGTGGTGGTGGTGGTGGGTCAACAACTTAGTCGTCCGATAAGTGCTTGTAAGTGCGGGTATGATGGAATATATAGGTGAATTGGCAAATATCACTGAATATTAATTAGTTTTCGGAACAAAAAGGGGATTATATGTGATATGAATATACAGATAGGTTGGAATAAATAGTCAGTCAGTTATGTGCCATGCGCGATTCACGCTTAGGCGATCATGTATTTTTTGATACATGACTGACGAGGCATATTTTTTCCCGCAGTAGGTTGCCATTTCTTTCTGCGGTAGACTAGTTGCCATCCAAGGCTATAGAACCCGGTCTGTCCTGTATTTATAGCTTGGCGGGGGGGAGGGCGAAGAGGACTCATACCTTTCCCAAGGGTATTAGCACGTAGGTGAATGTAATGGATTCGACTGCAATTTGAACTCGGCTCTCCGATTCCCCAATCCAAGCCGCTATCCTTTACTCTCTGGTCGGAAAACATTGAAAATAAGTTAAACAGATGTCTGAGAGTTGGCTGGTTGTGTTTGTTTAGGGCCAACCTGGGTTGATAATGTCGAAATTGAAATATTTCGTACGGAATTTTATATTATTTCTATTTCTTTAAAAATAATAATGGCTTTTAGTGATACAATTATTACTAATTAAAACATAACTGTAGGAGAAGAAATGATATTCATATCTTTCTCAAGAGTATTTGCACGTAAGTGAATATAACGAACCCAATTGGAATTGGAAAACGGCTGTCTGATTAACAATTCCGAGCCATTATCTATTATACCACCCACAAATTCATTCTTACAGCACCTGGTATTCTCAAGAGGATTCCTATCTAGTTACTGATCAGGCGCGATGTTACTTAACTTCGCTGATCTTATGGGACTGGTGTTTAAACGTGGTATGGTCGTAAGCCACAAACGGACGACCGCGTGGATATACTGGGAAAACAATTAAAACGTGGGAGTAATTATTGGCTGAATATTAATCTGAAATGTTCACGGAGTAATGTTTGATTGTTGCGACGTAATGGCAATATTAGCTGTTTACTTATAAGATAACATTCGGCATTCATTGTCAGTGCTTCATTTAGTTGAAATGTATAAAAATTTTCTATTAAAAAATCTTTATAGGAAAATAAGCTTCTCAGTTTCAGTCGCTGCTATTACTCTTTTCAGTATTGCTGGGGTTTTTCTTCCTAACCTTTTATTTGAAATAGTGTCAAAAGTCAACATCTAGATTATGACATTGTTTTACATTCGAGTTAAATGTGCTATCCATTTTATTGTTGCTGTTGAAAGTCCCCAAGTTTCTATTATTTGATACAGTTCTTTGTTTATGACTTAGTAGTGACAGTCCACGAGGGTTTGATGAAGGATAGTCCTCATTAAGACACACTAGCCTCATTCACAAGACACTATTTGGAACTACTGATCTTAGAAAGCATTTGTATTTAGGTGGCAGTTTATATATTTCTGAACTGGTTTGGCGTGATGCATGATATCCATAAGAAAATCTTGATTGGACCAATCTATTTAAGAAGATGACTCGAGTTTTAAGGTTAAGATTTTGATTTTGTAGTAATTTACGGTGTAGTACTCCTAGCACTTCTCTGATGGTTGCTGCTTGTCGTGGTGGCGAGGCTTGCGTCGTCCATTGACTCTGAGAACGATACCGTCAGGAGTTCTAAACTCCTGGTAGGGCCATCCTTGGCGACAAGGTCGAAGGCGAGAACCCAGACTAAGCCCAAAGCCTCCAACGTTGGAACAAAGAGATAACGATTACAACAGCTCTCAACGGTTGAACCAAGAGATGACGTGGGCTTTGCATGACGGACATACTACAGATGCCGTCACTCAAAATTATAACAGAGTCAGCGGCAGTTCGTTGCAGTTTCATAACTGGATTCTGCATATCTCATTCTATATGTGCCGCAGAGAAAGGTAATTAAATTAAGTATGTGAGTCATTCTCTGGCAAGTTGAGCTACAACTTGGAATAGATTCACGCCATTGGCACTTTCTTCTCTGATTTTGTTTCACTTCCAACCAAATATTGCAAAGTCAAACGGCAATGACGGGATCAGGTTTTGGTGAAAGCATCTATATCCAAACTGTACGTTGGCGGCGAATTTGGTCACCAACGCCATCATTATAAAGGAAGCGATCAGCAAAGAAGAAATTAAATTCATGGATTCGCGATAAAGCCGACAACACCTAGTTCTGCTTATTCTATGTTCAGTTTTTTTTACGACAAATGGTGCATTTATTAAAACTGATCGATATATTGAAGTATTTGAAGTGTTTAATACTTAATACATATGATTAATAAACATCAGTGAGTTACGGTCACTGAATATATAACAATAGAAAATGCCAAGTATTTTCCTCGTTACACTGAAGAGCCTGTTTTTACTTTCATCTTATTCTGCGAATTTGAATCCTGCTTCCAGTAATTCTAGATTATTTTCTTTCCCGTTCCGTATTCTGTTAGTTTATTTCTGTTATTTAAATTTTTGAAGATTAAGGTTGATCGGAAATCATGGAGTCGGAAGAGAGTTCCACAAACGAGAAGTGTGGGAAAAGAAACTGTTAGCATAGAACTTACGGTTACATTTAGCCAATTCATTATTTAATTAATGAGACATTGTTGCCAATCTAGTACTACAATTAAATTACCATAATGAAGAACTCATCCGAACAAATGAAAGTATTTATAGAAAAGGCACAGGGAAGTAATTTTGTGGCGGTGGGACAGTGACTGAAGTCGAGACGCCAGGTCAAGAATAATAATATTGCTAATTCTTCTTGGGGATTTCATCAAGAATCTCTAAATATATAGCAGGGGCATCAGACCGTATGTGGCAGTATTATTCTAAGCATGGATGCTTTGTAGACATAGATATGCAAGATAGATTCTGGAGAGAAAAATTGTCTAGCACAGCATAGTTGTTATGATCCAGTTCCTTGTACCACTGTGATAGTCCAAGGTAGAACCAATAAAGAAGAACTCAAAGGCGGATATGGAATAACACAGATATATTACAAACAGGAATATATACAGAGAGGTAGAAAAGTGTCAGTACGAACAATCAGGTTTAGTAGTAATTGTCTGAACGCGTCTCTGTTTCGGACTGCCTCTGACTCGACTGACTGACTCGCTCGCTCTGACTGACTGACTCTTGACGGACTTCACTCCAGACTTCAGACTGAACTCTAGACTTCAGACGGAACTCACTGCTTCCTCTTGAGGCGCAGTATTTATTACGTATGGAATTGTCCATTATGTTATTATGGATAAGGTCCCATAACAATAGTGAATAGACATTCTTAGTAGCTTACATAGCAGTGGATTTACTATCGTTTTTACGCTTCATATCACCCGTGAATGTTAACCAGAAAAGGCCCAACTTGTCACTCTCGTGGAGGTTAGCATCAGCCATACTGATGGAAGGCAAAAAAGGATCTCAGGTGATTGATTTAGTTTTTAATGCTTATTAAACATTTGCATGTTATTTAAAGAAATATTTTTAAATTGTGAAATCTTTTTGAATATACTAACGATTTACTGATACATGATTAGGGGGAGAAGACGTGGATTCATAAATTTCCCATGAGTATTTGCATTCAAGTGAATATAACGAACCTGACTGGAATTTTCGTTTTTGTTAAAATTAACAGGTTAACTTCTCCCCAGTTAACAACAGATTGTGGGTATTTTTTTTAGTTTAGCTTCCAATTCGACCTTAAAGAACCGATCAGTCTTACTATTAAAACAGGAGTATATGCTTGTGTCATCTGCATAGATACCGAATTGAGAACTGATGCCATCCTGAGGGTCGAGGAAAATGAAGATTAACCTAAGTCCAAAGATAGAGTCCTGGGAAACACATGCATTAATGCGGAAAGATCTAGAAGAGTGTCCATTCAAGATAACTTTCATTTTTATGATTTGATAAGAATCAGTTCAAAAATCGTCCAGATATACCATAGACTTTTGACTTGTAATGGAGAACAGTATGCCAAATCCTGTCAAATGCTTTCGTTATATCGAAAGCAACAGCCTGACCTTCACCATTCTAATCTAAAGCTTAATAGACTATTTCAGCAGCAGACCTAGAGAAGCTAAAGCCACACTGTTTATCTTAAAGAAGCTCCCGCGAAGTAAGATGCTTAATGAATTCAGAGTTAATTAAAGCTTCTTTTACATTAGCAAAAAGAGATTTGTCTTTGAAATTCTCTCACATATTCCCTCGTCTGTTATAAGACTATCCAGTCAGTTAAATTTTTTTTATTGCTTAAATTTGACCTCTTTAAGCCCACACCATATGGTGTCAATTTTGCTGATGACACTGCATTTTGTCTAGTGGCTTCTAAAAGTTTTTACGTGTACTCCCACTTTTTGTTCTTTAGGTTGCATTGTCTAGTGATTGGTTTTAGTACATTTTAATAAATGATTTAAACTTTAAAAAAAAAGTATGGCGGCACTACTTTTGAGGAAATATTTACTGACGCAATTTCATAATGTAATATTCAAGTATGAAAATTACACTGATCTTCTTTCTTTCTTTTTATGTGTCATGTCCTTTCAGGACGTAGGCTATCATGGCTCTCCATCTCCCTCTATCCCTTGCAGCTCTCAGCAATTTCTGTCATCCACCTGCTCAAGCTCACCAGGTATGTCATGCACTGCTGTCCCTTCTCTCTCTTTCCCTCTATTCGACCCGTGAGTATCAGATACTCCAGGCTCTCATTATGTATCCCAGAAATTTCAGCTGCCTCTTCCTGATGTTAAGTATAAGCCTTCTCTTTGTTTGCAACCTCTCCAAGACCTCATCGTTTCTCACACGAAGGTTTCCGTGCTTATTTTTTGATAAATAAGCGAGGATTTACAAACCCGTCTTGACAGTTATTAAATTTTGTAGGAATTATCTTATAAATGCTGAACTTTGACAGCCTTGTGCCAGCTAATTCTAAACTTACTAAATATGGGAAAAAATATTTGCCAAATTTATTGCTACGCTTATCTTGAACTGACACGAATAATTTTAAATAAGTCCACTCACTTTCTGATTTAACCTTTTGTGCGTACTTTGGTTTTTGCCATCAATCTGCATCTTGCCTGCAATCATTTTAAAACATTCTAATTTCTTTGAAAATTATAAGAAAAAGAATGATGTGCTTTTTAATTAGACGAAGACAAGTAGGATCTGACAAAACCAAAATCCGTCAGGCCTTTGGAAAGTAGTTGGAATTATTGATCGAAAAAGAATAATTAGATCAAAAACAGAAAAAAAAACACAAACTAGAATGTAAAAAAAAAGAAAGAAAAAAGAAATGATAATACTCAGAAAGGAACATGCATTTTAAGTGATAATGAATGCAAATTTTTTGTAGCGGTTGTTGTCATTTCATATAAAAATGAGGACACTTCTTAATAAAATAACCAAAGATAAAACAAAGATGACTGTGGAAAAAGAATCTCAACAAATACGTAAAATATAAAACAATAAAAAAAAAAAAAAATAAGACAACAACAAAAGAGAAGGTAAAGTTAAAAATCCTGGAGAGAGAATGAACAAAAGAAATCATTGAATCGGATACATTCTGACGGATTTAATAATTCAAATGAAACTTTTCTGAATAAAATTGTTATTGACCAATAGATGATGGTAACATTTTCAGAATATGTTTATATATGAACAATAGTGTGTGATTTTCACGTTATAATACCAATGTTTATTAAAAATACTGATCTTAACTTGTTTCGGAAGTAACAAGATGTATGAAGCAGGTTGGAACTTCAATACTTATTTATAAATAAAGACAAAGGATATAAGCTACATAAACATTTACTTTAAATATATTATACATGTTAATACAGACTCCCTGGTATTCTGTAACGTTTTCTCCTTTTATATTTGTTAATTATATTAACTGTTCTTTCGATTCTATCATGTATTAATGGTTATTCCTTCCCAGATATCATTTTAGCTGTATTATTGTTTGTTGTTTTTTTTCATTAAGATCTCTTTTTCATTTGACTAGTGCCAGGAGAGAAATGAATGTATTCTATTAAATTCGTGTCTCTGAAATTTGTTTTATCAAAGTTGGTAATAATCAGCGTAGGAAGTGTGTAAAGGAACATTGTCATATACAAATACTATCTACCGATCTTTTATAAAATCAATTCATTCCAAGCAAGGCGATAATTCCACTAAGACGGAAGGGATTGCTGGGAGTGAAAGAGAACTAAAAGACTTTAGGGGGCCACGAAAACATAATCTTAAACAGGAAAAAAGAGATAAACCTGTACTCATACTCAAAAGACCGGGGTGAGTATCTATCTATCTATCTATCTATCTATCTATCTATCTATCTATCTATCTATCTATCTATTGTGGATGTGGTATTGTAGTATATGTAGGAGAAAAGGTGAAGCGTGAATTCTTTCGGTGAATAGTTTATTTGTATTGAATGAATGGGTCGGGAATCGGGTTAGCTAGGTATAGGATAGGTAAGGATGACCAACCTCAAGCTTACTCCCCACCCCAATTTTTGGCGACGTGCAGCAATTAATGTATTTTACAATAATAAATATACTCTATCTATCTATCTATCTATCTATCTATCTATCTATCTATCTATCTCACACACACATACAGGAGAGTCTCAAGATAAGATCTTACAGGAAGATGTGCCGGGTTATGATCGCCCATGTTCAGAAGGAGCACGAAAGAGAAGAATAATATTCTCTTCTTGGCTGTTATAGTCACAATGTTTACCTTTGATAATATACAAAACACACACACACACACACACACACACACACACACACACACATATATATATATATATATATATATATATATATATATATTTAAAATCAAATTAAATTTTAGTTTTTAATGCTTAGGGTCTCTCACCTTTGTGAGCATGTGTACTCACGGCAAGCATCACTTTAATCCAATGAATTCCTAAAGTAAGACGAAGCGCGTCACTCGACAATTTTTTTCCACTTTGATATATATCACCAATATGAGGATAGTGTAGCAGATTCAGAAAGAGTTGGGTTAGTCTAATGGTGATTACGAAGATACAACAGCTCGGAAAGCTCACTCTGATCGTTCTGATAAGAAAAGAACTCCTGAAGTCTTTAAACGGAGGCCTACGTCAAGTCCCTTGGGGAGTGCTACCATGAGAAAAGATTTTGGTTGCTGGAAGAAGGGCCCTATAACATGCCATCAAACGTAGAAGAACACAGTAATGGGTGTCAGACCGTTTTTGCAACCACATAACCCCTTACATCTGGTCACCTAACCGCTCAGACTGCAGTTCCCTTGATTATAATATGGAAGACCAACGATACTCCTGAAGGCAAGGATTATGGCGGCATCCACCAACTTAAACAAGGAAACCGTCCAGAAGAATTGCAGGAGATTCCGACGTCGTCTGGAAGGCGTGGTTGAAGCTAATGGCGATTTAATTGAATAAATTTACTATAAATTTTAGTATTTCAAGATATTTTTGAGTAATTTTAGTAAATATATCTGTTAAAATGAGATGTCAGTATTATTTTCATTTTTTTTTTGCATCATTTAGGCGACAATATATCCATCGCACCCTGTACACACACACACACACACACGCACACACACACACACACACACAAGACGAAAGATTGTAAAAAACTAAAAAAAGACCTTATGCAACTGGAATTTATAAACAGGCACCATATTCATATACAGGTTCGGGGTTAGTGTATTTTATTAAAATTGTTTGCGAAGATGTATTCTCGCCATTTAAATCATTAACTTCTATATCTGTTTTTTGTATGAATGATTCATGTAATATATATATATATATATATATATATATATATATATATATATATATATATATATGGATTGTCTGCGATATTTCGTGTCATGAACAGGAATATTGTTAGTGTGCGTTTCGATTTGGTCATCATCAACGACTGTAGACCTGACGGGCATTTATCGATCCCACGTGTTTACAATTTCCAATTCTGAACTAAGCAAACCACTTCTGGACAATACTCCCAAGTATGGCACAATCTCCATTAAATTACATAAATGGACTTCATTTCCACAAAAATATTATGTGCATATTCATATATTTCATATTTCATGTTTATACTTCAATTATATATATTTTACATTTTATCCTTCATATTCATATTTCTTATTAACAAAAACTTGTATAATGTTTATATTCCCAAGTATGGCACAATCTCCATCAAATGTAATAAATGGATTTCATCTTCCTCCATTTTTACAAAAATATTTAAAATTCTCAAACCACGCGTAAATCTTGCAGTTGAAATATCAACTTCCAAGTAGACATCTAATAAATATATTCTGTTCTATCCAGTCTACTCTGTTTATCATTATTGCTATACACTTGAAGTTTCGATTATTGAACTCCGTCTATCATCGTCAATAGTCAGTTGTACACAGTAACCTTTAGTATTTTTTAACTTAACCCCTTAATCAATCCATGAGGTGTAAATTGTTCTCGTATCAATTAATTCCATCTATATTCTTCGCTTTTGTGCTAAGCTTCCGTTTCTTCCCTGAACCACGGATTAAACTGACAGGAAGTCAGGTATGCTTTAACGAAAGTTTTAATCCATATGTATCTTAGTGTTATAATTTTGAAAGCTTGATGTCTATACGTCAATGATGCAATATTTAAGTATTTTTTTCTGAACTCCGGAGGATACAACTCCCGAAATATTGTGACTATAACATCTAAGATGTGAATATTATTCTTCTGTGTCGTGTTCCTTCCGAAGAAGGCCTGGCACATCTTCCTGTAACATCTTATCTTGTGAGTCTCCTATATGGCAGTGGATACTCGATAATTTTTTCACAAATGAAAAAGAGATGTGAGGTAAAAGAAATTTGGTGTACAGAAGGATGTTGAGAATACCATGAAGCGAACATGTGAGCAAATGTAGCAATATGAGTCAGTTGAAATCTTGTTAAATCGAAAACATCTGAACCTGTCGCAAAAATAGATAGGGAACATTTACTTTTAACCGATCGTTATCAGTAAGTGAAGTCAACTTCAAAGTACAGAGCAAGAAGATAAGACAGAGAGAAAATCACGGAAGGGAGATAAATTACTTTTTTTTTTTAGACGAAGATGAAAAGGCAAAGAAAATTGTTATCTATTGTTGAAGCTTAAATAAGCATGGAATAATACAACACAAAATGTACGTTAACAAAATGTATTGAAACAAAGAATAGGTACACAATATTTACAGTTAGACTGTTCCTGCATAATGGGTTGACTAAATCGCAGTCGGGCAGAGTCTCTGGATTCAATTTCTTAATCTCTACTATCTTCCCCGTCTTCCGGTACCAACCCATATTTATATGGTCGGTAGTCCGCTTATGTAAATTAGGTGTATCATACACAACATCTATAAAACTGACCATCCCGTGAAAAGGCATACAGACGAACGAAGCATTACAAACAGGCCCGCTGAACTGGGCATCCCTCTCTACTTCGCTTGCTTATTGCATTAGGTTACAGAATTAAATCTGGTTTATTGCTAGAAATTGTTTAGTTTTTCATTCGTAGGTAACAATCTGGCCGAAGGGTAATTTTTAAGCCACAAGCGTTTGACTGGACGCAACTGTACCCTGCTACGATGCAACACAACAAAATGTTTTAAGGAAAATTGAATAAAAAAAATTACACTTATACTGAGAATTAGAAAAAGATAGTTAAAATTTATACTGAATATAATGAGTAGAGAGGGCTTAAAAATTTGACACTGACAGGATATATAAGAGGCAAAAAGAACAAAGGAAAGCATTGACTAACCTAGCTAACGATCTTGTGGAAATGGTTGGCATAACATGGATAGGATGGATAGCAAAAAGACAAACGTTGCTAAGAGTTGAAAAGGACAGGAAGTTGTGGAGAGCCATGGTTCTGAAAGGACAGAACACATAGAAGAATAAGAAAATAATTCCTCGGTGTTTAGCAGAAATTTCGACGAGAACTTAAAGAAGCATTAGCGTAGAATAAAACATCAAACACTATTTATATCGGTCAATGACTTAAGTGGTTCATCAGCGTTGTTTGACGATAAGCGAAGTTTCTTCAACTAGGATAGAGCTATCTTTTCTACATAGTATTGAAATCTCATCTTTCAACGTCATTAAGTCACATTATTCTTACTCAACTTAACGACCAAGTAAGCTTCACTTTGTCATCGATGTGAAAGGAGAAAAAAACTGGAGTAAAGTCTTAAAGGTCTTAGTAGGAAGGAAGAAAATCGTCTTTAGAAAACAAATAAAACTAGTTTCCTATATATATGTGTGTCAGTGGTTACTGCTTTTCAAACGTGTAACATTACGTACATAGACACGAGATAATATCAGCAATCTCAGTAGGAACCCTAAAAAAATAAGTCAGATAGAGAAGAGCCAATGCATAACCTATATAATTCAAAACTATGCAATCTTATATCTGAAAAGAAAAAAAATCCCTGCTTCCAAGTACGTCTGTCTCCAGATAAAAATTCCTTATATTAGCGCATCGACCTTTTCTTCGAGAAGATTCGCTGAAAATTGCAATGGGAATAAAACCCAAATAGATTTATAATATCATCTTCTCTCTCTTTTTGTTATAACCAATAACTGAATAAGAGTAATGTTATTTCTGCACATAATTTATTGAAGAGTGGATGATGTGTAATGATTATATTCTGGATCCAGGCTCATGGAATTTCAGTGATTTGGTTGCATTTAATTTCACTTTTATAGTTACTATATGTCTAGAAGTGCGGTAAGCGATATAATATTTTTTATTTATGTAATGCTTCGGCGCCATTCATATGTGTGTGTGTGTGTGTGTGTGTGTGCCGATAAAGGTAAATCGGGAGCTCCCTGCTTTTGGTTTTAGCAGTGTTCGATTATAGAATTTTTTCTCTACTGTCTTAAAAAATAAATAAATGACGAATACAGATATGACTCAAAGAATATGACGAATATCACTATTTTTAAAGGAAAATATTATATATGATGCACTCATGCGGACACACACGCACAGACACACAAGAGGGTCATAAACACACATAGGACACATAAATAAACATAAAAACAAATGCACGCAAGTAAGCTCAAAAGAAAACACACACATCCACATACAAACTACCCCGCCAAACAAACTCGAAGCACGAACAAACACATGTAAATATGTCGATAGGTATTTAATAAGCTTATCTTAATCTCATCAAAGGCCAATGAGAAGTAAACAAAGTGGAAGATTGTGTTGCGGCAATGAATAATATTGTTATGTAGTGGTTTCACAGTGGAGGCTTGTATTTGTATTAAGTCGGTCCTAAAATAGGTTCGACGTACAAAACGTTAGAAACTTGATATAATGACACAGCAATCTAGTTGTGGTGGCTGATACTTTAATATCGGACTAACGGTCGTCCGACATCGACTGACTGACCAACTCACTGAGCGACTGACATGTTACTCTTACTACTCCTACTTATGGTGGGAGAGTCTATTAACTATAGAATAGGTGTGTTCCACTATAGCAAATATCCACTGTGAAAAACAGGAATTTAATATCTTAAAATTTATCTCGGTCATTTATCACTCGCTCTTTCTCATTCCTTTTCTCTTTCTTCCCATAAATATATATATATATATATATATATATATATATATATATATATATATATATATATATGTGTGTGTGTGTCTGTGTGTGTGTGTGTTTGTGTGTGTGTATGTGTGTGTGTGTGCGTGCAATTGCAAAAATGCAACTACTGCACAATATATACGAGGATACACAAATTCAGTGAGTTTCTTTTTGGTTAAGCACTTTAATCAAAACCTAATAGAGATCTCGCATGTTAGATATAAATACTTAAATAAATACATACATATATATACAGGCCGTAAACAATGAAGGTGAATAGATTGTTGAATGATTTATCATAACTATTAATAAATAATACGTATTAAAATAAATACCACATAATTTTTCCGTGTCTTATTCTCTGGTGAGGCTTAATAAAGCTAACCATATTTCCATGTTTATCATATATATATATATATATATATATATATATATATATATATATAAATGGTGTATACGGAATGAATTCAAATAACCAACAATTACTATTCTTAAAAGAGTGCTCAATACAAAGTAGAGCAGATATAATTATTTATTTAGAAAATTTATAACATAAACATGTTATAAAATCACTACAAAAATAGGCATTTTGTTTCAACACTCCCGGTGTCTTATCAAGTGATGATGTTGAACAACATCATCACTTGATAAAACACCGGGAGTGTTTTTGGAACGCTTGTGTAATGGATATCACAATTGCATTGATCTAGACTTCAACAGATTTTATTTTTACGTATTATTAGTATTGTTCCGTAGGTAAGTAAAATATTTTATATACACGCCACGATATCATGTCCCGCAGTAAAAGATATTTTATTTAATATGGGCAGTTGCTTTCGTCTAAAAACAGCTGCTATAATTTTTATCTTGTCTACCACACTGGCAACATGACGGTCAAAATTATTCAAACAGAAACGAAACAAAACATGAACTTCAGACATATTATCCGCAATTGTGATCCCGATAAAGATCTTTAAAAATTGGATAGAAAAACAGTAAAAATTAAGAAGGTTGGTGCCTAAGTTTATATTATACCTTTCTTTTTAATAATATTCCCCCTATAGAAGAACACAAGAGTCACAGGAAATAGAGGATTTATGAAGGAATTTGTTGTGAAGAGTAACAGGTAATAGGGAAGATAGCTACATAAAAGATAACCGTTAACCATAATCTTGAACAAGGAAATATCCTCTTGGGAGTCGGTTCCACAAAGTTGCAGTTTGTGGGGAGAAATTGTTCAAAGGGATACTTCCATACTTGCATATATATATATATATATATATATATATATATATATATATATATATATATATATGCATATATATATATATATATATATATATATATATATATATATATATATATATATATATATGTGTGTGTGTGTGTGTGTGTGTGTGTGTATATATATGTGCGTGTGTATGTATATATATGTGTGTGTATGTATGTCTGTGTATATGTATGTCTGTGTATATGTATGTGTGATGGACTTATTTACGGTCTCACTAAATCACACAATTCTGGTATTCCTATGCGGTCCATCCTTCCTGGAATAGGCATCACTCTCCACAAATTAGCTATAGCCATAGCAAAAATATTAAAACCTCTACTTGAAACAGTAAGCCCATCACACACAGACACACACACATTATTATGTCTATTTATTTAATTTAAACCCTTTCAATTTCAAAAAATTATTTTTTTGGTGGCTATAGAATATTGATTAAGAAAAATTGCAAAATTTTCCTTATATAATTTTAATTTTTTTTCTTTACTAAATTTAATACAACCAATCTAGCCTTCTATAATAACTCTTCTCCGTCAACTAGCGTCTTACAAAAGACCAACATACGTATATATATTTAAATGTCCTTTGGGAGATTGCATCTCACATAAAAAATGTTAATATGTATGTTGGTTTTACAACAACGACGATGATGAGAAGACTTTTGTTTCATTTATTAAATTAAAATACTGTAATTAAAAATCACATAAGTTACCACCCTTGTATAAGGCTAAAAATAATTTGAATTTACGTTATTAACGCATAATACATTCATAGATATGCAATCCTTGAAGATGGTCTCAGATGAGATTGAAAGTACTTGTGTAAATAAAAATTATTTGAAAGAAAATTTTTGACAGAATTCGAGGGCTTGAAAAGATTAAAACTAAAATAAGTAGACATAATACGACTAAATTATTTAAGCGAACATGTTTGTATGAAAATATGCTTCCTATATATATATATATATATATATATATATATATATATATATAAATATAAATATAAATGATAAGTCCAGCCGTTTTAAATGGGCGCTTGTTTCATAGCGCTCTTAAATTGTATTGTTGATTAGAACGGTTATGCAAATCAACCCCGGCTGTATAGACATTTCGCACATACGGAATCGTACTTTTAAGGTGCATTCTCGTCGTAATTTAATTTACGCTTCATTTTTAACACTAAGTTTTACCTTGGTTCTACCACGCCTTTTATATATAAATAAAAGAAAACAAAAGTGAAAAATTTTTACAAATGAGTTTCATTCCTTGAGGCAAGCGTGGACCTTTTATAGGGTAAACAGTATTTATAGACAGAAGTAAAGATGTGAAAATATCAAATTTCGAATTAAAGAACGCTCTAAAATATTCTAAAACACTATAGTATAAGGAAAAGTAAACTAAGTAACAAAATTTTTCGCCTATTAAACGAAAGTGAGTTACTGTCATTTTAATTTTTTATTGATATATATATATATATATATATATATATATATATATATATATATATATATATATAATGTATGTATTTTGTGTGTATCATTGCAAAAGTTAGTGCCCAATTAGAAAGTTATTATTCAAGTACATACTTTCCATTGTTTTTAACAACCATCTATCATTCTTCAAGAATATTGATGATATCTTCATAAAAATTTTCTATTTTTTTGGGAAGCAGGTTGTGAGGTAGTTTTTTACTGACTGTAGAGAATAAAATTCTTTACAATTTAAATTGTTCAGTAGAGACCAGAAAAAATGAAAATACGAAACAGGAGAATACGGTGAACACTGGAGGGTTTCCCATTGCAGGCTCTTTAAGCTTCTGCAGGGTCTGTTTTGCAGCATGCGGTCTTGTGTTGCCAAAATCGGCTTTTTCTTCTTGATCCCAAGTTTCTTTAAATGGCGAAAGGCAGTTGAGATATCGATTTTCAAACTGTTAGCAATCATTTCAGTCGAAATCTCCCGTTTATTCTCCCCAATGACAAGCAGAGCGTCTTCATCCACGCCGGAAGGTCGGCTGGGGCGTTGTTGATCGTTTGGATAAAAAAAAAAAAATCACCTCGATGAAATCTGCCAAACTACTTATTGACAGTCCGAAGAGCTGGAGCACGACCCAAATAAACTATCTGAAGATTTTTTTGTCGCAGTTCCGAGATTCATAGAGCAAAATATGGCGAAAATGGCAACTTTTCATCCTCCATCTTCAAGGCATTCATCTGTTGACAAAACATCAACAAAGTCTGACAGGCAACTGAACGATGGAAGAAAATCGACACCAAAAAGAAACGCCAGTGTCAAGTTGCAGTCATTTTATATTAACAATGAAAGTATTTACAAATCTCTGATACATATATAATTATTATTCTTTTATTTATTTCTTATAAATTTTTATTTTATTTCGATTATTTCATTTTTTATCTTTAGGCTATTTTTTATTTTATTTTTAAAAACATTTTATAGCCGTATATAAGTAGTTGCAATTTACAACGGTTAAATAGTTGATGTGATGTGCGCGATCCAGAGAGATAAATCATTCTGTACTGCACAGCCTGACGAACATAATCGCAATACTTCAGTTTTATGTTGTTAATGTTTATATATTAAAGACGATCTATCTATCTATCTATCTATCTATCTATCTATCTATCTATCTATCTATCTATCTATCTATATTAAAGAAGAAAAAAGTTTGGTGAACTGATCAAATTGCTAAAACCTGATACTCTTATTCAGATCCAGTCTTGAATTTTAAAAAAAGAGAAAAAAAAAACAAACTAAAAGTAAACTAACCTACTCAGTAAAGTGCTCAAAGCCTAGATTGCAAAGACCTGAGCAAAAAACGCTTATTAAGTTAAATCCTATGAAATAATGACTCAATCGTAACTCTAGTATCATGCTCGTGTGATCTTCAGACGACTTGGCCGGATATATATATATATATATATATATATATATATATATATATATATATATATATATATATATTATGTTAAGAAATGGACAAGGTCCGACAATTTATTTATTAAAGACATTTTTATGTTTAACGTTGTTATTTATAGATACAAGTATTTAAGCAAATGCTCTGTTTATGATAAACAGTATTAAATAACATTTACCGGCCTGAATGTCCGAGAAATTTTCATAGAAAATATTCGTTCTTTGACAGGAAACACTTTATCCCGTAACTACTATAGCACACCTTAAAACTATATTTCCTCATATATATATATATATATATATATATATATATATTGGAATATATCTTGGACAATATATATATATATATATATATATATATATATATATATATATATACCTGTGATGCCTATATATATCTGTGAATGTGAGGTCAAATTCTAGTAGTTCCTGTTTCATTCATTGCACGCCAGTGCATTTGTTAAATTCTCCGATGGGAGAACATAAAGAGGCCAGCAGTAAGGAGATATCGTGGCACACTGTTCCATTTAACTGTTGTAAGTTCTTGCAAAAAATGTGGCTGGTTATGCACAAACACTCGCCACTAAAATCAAATTAACTGTGTTCGTATCTCAAATGGCGCAGTTCTGAACGAGAGTCTTATGTCCTCAGCCATCAAAATGGACGGGATGCTTCATGCTTACGAAGCTACTTGTGCTTACAATTGTAACTTGATATGGATGGTTCCTTGTGTAATGATAATTATAAATAAGAGTGGATCAATATAACCGTAGCCTACACAGTTTTTCGATTAATAGTGATATGACTTTTTCACTGTATAATTTTCGATCTATGGGATTAATATCGAAGCGTTGGTTTCATTACGTCGACAAGATATAGATTACATTCTAAGCAGATTTTTTTTGAATCAAAGGATGGCTTTTGTTTTCATCCTTAATATATGGGCTTATTGACATACTTACGTATATGTAAAAATATGTAAAAACCTGTAACAAAGGCATAGACACCTATACTTATGCCCTAGTGTACAGATATGTTTATAAGGATAAGGTCAAATACATTCATATATATATATATATATATATATATATATATATATGTGTGTGTGTGTGTGTGTGTGTGTGTGTGTGTATTAAGGTGTCCACCCCTTTTTTATACAAGTGGACTCGCCCAGTGTGTACTTGTACTGCTGCCGGTGAATACCCGGGAATGATACAGTGTACTTTGTAGGAGTCACAGTTGCGAGCACGTAGACTCAGAAGGAAGTCATACTTCGATACTGAATTTCCCAGACTGTATATATATTATTTTTGCTACTAACCGCATTTCTGGATCTACTAACTGTATTACCAATTGTATTATTACGTCAATACATTTATTTGCTATATTTCATTCCTGCGTTTGTCATTCATTTGAGACCGGATTTCATCCCGGAATCCACACCAGTATGAATATTGTATAGTTAGACAGCAATCCTTCCTTTATACATGTTTCATTTAATGTGACAAAAGGAATATCTTTTACATTTTAATACATTTTTCTAATGTTTTAACAGTTTTCCTGTTAGGCGCTGAAGTTCCTGCAATCTCTTGGCACACCCAAAATGACACCCTTATATATATATATATATATATATATATATATATATATATATATATATATATATATATATGTGTGTGTGTGTGTGTGTGTGTGCGTGTTCTCATGTGTGTATTTCAGTACACTGTTCTATACATTTGTATATGTAGATACATCATAAAAAAGCAATAAGTAAAAACAAAAATCATAAGAAACTATTATTTATCCATGAAGACGTGTTTCTCGAGAATGCACTAGTGGTAAATTTTAAACGCATCGAACTAACAGGACATATTGAAGACAAGAGGGGCACCAAGACGTGGTGTAATGGTTAGCAAACTTGTCTTGCTAGATCAATTACGACTGATTAGGGAGCCCCATATTTTTGTCCTTGTGTCACATCTAAGCGAAACTTAAAAAAATCACCATATTAAATCAAGGAGTCGGGGAAAAGAGCAAGTAAACTACATAACAAGCATAGGTAAATCAATGGCAGAAAAGGAATTGTAGGGAGCAGTAAAATACAAAACTTGCTAAGAGCTACAAATAATAGAAACTTGTGGAGGACCAAAAAAGAAAAACATTGTATATACTTGCAGGGATATTGTGTCTATTTCACAGAGAAAATATTTAACTTAATTTCTGCTAACGTGGTTACTTGTCATTGCGAAGTAACGTTAAAACTCGTCTATCAATTATTGCAAAGGAATGAAGAAAAATAAAATAAACGATCTGTTCAAGAACCGTTTATTAAAAATAAATCAGATTTTATATCACTTACTTAAAAAATTGAAAGTGGGTCGAGTCGATAACTTTTCACCACGTACTGTGATAAGCAACATCAGTGAGTTCGATCCTAACTGGTTACAGCATATTCTGTGGCTTTTGCCTACGACTGCTTAAATATCAATATGTATTCTTAGTTATGACGCAAAATTTATTTAAAGACATGTTTATAAAGTGATGGTGATCTGATATTTTATTAATTTAGACTAGGGTTATTTAATATTAGGTTGTTGCATTTAATCTTTCATTTTTATGATATTTCTGTAAATAATCTCGAAGAATTATTCTTCGTAATGTTTTTTTTTGCCTCTTAGTAACTCCGAGAATGGGAATGTTCGACATCTCTCAGTTTTAAATCACAAAGCTGCCAAAGCTGCTCCATATATTTCTATTACGTGCGGAGATTAATTCATTATCGAAAGAATAGCATGGAAATGGTTTTCCCGTTTCAGGAAGCGGAAAATCGGACTCACAGACTCTCCGCGTTCTGGTCGACCTGTTTTAGTTTGATGAGAAAATTGCTCGCGTCAATTAAAGACGAATTGCGCCAGGGTACCAATGGAATTGGCTCAGAAGTTGGTAAGCCCCCATGTTACTGTCGTCCGTCATCTATCTGCTAGCCTGGAGGAAAAGACACAGACTTATGTTCTTCTCAAGAGTATTTATACGGAAGTGAATGCAATAGCCGGAATTAGAACTCAGGTCGCCGATTACACATTTCGGGGCGCTATCCGTTGTCACCACCTGCACATCATTTACTGAGCGTCGTCTAAAATAAAGCTACAAGTGTATACAGCCCAGTGAAGCCTCCTCCGAGTAGTCATGCATTACTCTACTAACTAGATCTTGTAACATGTTGAGGCGTCCTTAATATATCACGGTATCTACAGTATACTCTGATTCTTGCTTATTAGATTCTACACTTTTACTCAATTTATAACTTTCATTTAAATATAAGGAAAGTGTTTTAACAGAGGACTTAAAGTAAGACACTGTAATCCGAAGGCACTGTAATGAAAACAGGACAAGAGATTCTGTCTAGTAATCGTTTATTCAATTAAGAATACTACTACTCATCTGACTTGACAGCGGAAGTATACAGCTTTTATAGTTTGGATTATCTAAGAGGAGATAATCCTTATTCACAACAGGCACATTCCGATAGCGAAAGATGCCTTCCAAAAGCTAAGAAAAAGTATTAAGAAACAAACATATTACATTAAAAAGAAAAGAGTACTGAGCTGTCATGCAATACCACTCCTCTTATATGTCAGTGAATGCTGGGAAATAAAGAAGTGACGAGGCAGCAAAAATGTAGCGTTGTATATCCTTCATTGAACGGGAGGGGGTTGTTGTTTATTGTCATCTTGGTGTTGGTCTCGCGAAATGTTCTTTGGATTCAGAGACGAAAAGCATCGACAAAGAGAACTTTTAACTTAACTATTATCTTATTAACCACGTCGACGGGTATATCTTCTATCAAGTGGGGGTTACTACATCCCCTATGTGGGAGCCGTTTCCAAACACGAAAATCTCACACGTCCATTTCCTTTGATGTGTAACAATCAACTCTCGAGAAACCCTTGCCTACTGAGGCGAGGGTGTTTGTACAAACGCAATCTAATGCGTCTAGTTAGCTCGACGTCCGAACAGCAACCTCGAAAAAACTTAATCTATAACTCATTCCCACGTTCGGCCCAGTCAATCAAAATCGAGTTCCCTATTTAGTCTATCATCTGACCGTAAAGGTCAACCTCAGGAGGTCTGAGCCAAAATGCACTGCCACTAAAAAAATAATAGTCTGAAACTATTATTTAACATTCCTTACCAAACCAAAACTATGGAATTTATTTCAACTACATTATATTTAACAGTAATGCCAGGGATTTAACATGTGAGCAACGATGAAATTTTAGAGAAAAGGAAAACAGCAATGATTATTACACTTTTTTACATCAGTGAGATACAACTAGAATGAGGAAACTGTGCACGGAAAATTTAATACTCTCAGATAAGACGTTTAGCCATCTTGATTCTATTTGTTGTAAGAATCACTGAAAAGCCCTTTGAGTTATTGACCTAGAATGAGAATGCTTTAAAATTGTTTTGTCTCAGACCCACTGTCTTCTCAAATGACCAGTGGTGAGAGGAAAAAAAATCATTCATGCCTTCAGTAATGGTATCAATATTCATACTCTGGCTTCCATCTTCAAAATCCATTTAAGAACCATCAAGAGAATGGTGAATAAATTTAAAAAAGAGGGAATATTAGAGTGGAAAACTGGATTTGGGGTCACAACAGCAAAGGGATCATCATTTCAACTTAGAGCTAAAAAGATCAATTAGAAAAAAATCCAATTCAACCCATAAAACATTTGTCATGTGA